TTTGATCAGCCCTTCAGCAGGAGTTGGGAAAGGAAGATCTCCTTTAGCCAGTCTTCCACCATCTTATTTAAGTAGCCTTTAACAGGTATGTACTTAACTATCACCAAATTCCAATTCTATTCAATTATCTTTCTGTGCCTTTGGAAATTCCAGCCAATACTGGGCCAACAATTTAAATTCTTAAATAATTCGGTCACTGCATTGTGACCTTTAAAGGAAAACTCCAGTAGTCAGCTGCACACAGATTTAAAAAAAAAAAAAAACCAAACCAAAAAAACAAACAAACAAAACCCGCAAAAAATCACAAGATAAAAATAGTAAGTGGTACCTCTTGAGGTTTCAACTTTTCTATGTCTGTGGAAAGGTCTGAGCTTTTTCCATGAAGACTGCCATTTTCCTGTAAACAGGCAAGTAGTAAGAACAATTAGGACAAGAGTAACATTCTATATTGAAATTATGGGGAAAAGCGCTGGATTTTGAAGTTAAAGTTGAACATGCAAGACAATTATAACTTATTTAAATTCTGTATGTTAATCACCACAAGGAATAACCCAGGAATGTAAAAGGCTTTGCCCTGCCTTCTGAGAAACTGATCTATATTCTTACAATACAGACCCACACTTTAGCTCTTCCTCAGAGTTATCTGATGTGGCAGCATATGAAGTAGTAGTCAGAACTTATCTTTATTTAAAATTCTGAACTAGTAATATGTCTCATTAGTTGAAAGAAAACAAAAAAATAAAGACCATACATTTTACCCAAAATTTATGCATGCAAACTTGAAGCAGACTGGTAAATGAAGTCCAGTGCTTTTTCAGTGATTTCAATGCAGAAAAGAACTTCCTTTGTTCTACTTTTTTGCAGAAGAACACGGCCATGGCATGAATTAATATGTGTCTCTTAACCATTACTAATTCTATATACAAACAGTATATATTTCTAGCGTTCATCACTTTTTCGGGGAAAACACAGGAATAGAGTTTTCCCATAAAAGGAATTCAAATTCATTTAAATGACATCCCAGACAACCATTCTTTATTGTTTCATTCAGAGCCTCTACAGAAAGTTAGGTTTTTTTCCCTTCCCACTACGAAATTTTTAGGTGTAATGAAGGTCTGGGCAGAGATCTATATTGATCTGCCAAATCCTATGAATTCCTTGATAGCCACTTCACACCAATTCTGCATAGTATCTATCCTAACCCTGTGAGACAAGCTTTCCTTATTCCTCACTGCATGAAGATGATATACTACAAAAAACCAAGACGACACGTGTGTTTTGTAATCTTTCAAAGCCTAGCACCAGGGGCTGAAACCACCTAAGACAACCCAGCCACAACAGACTCTCAGGAAAATCTAAACCTACCAGCATCCACTACGTGATCAGTGATCTTGTCAGGAACTGCTGCCGTACCGATGCTTCAGGACTGCGGGGCGAACAGCCCACAGCTAAGACAATCCCACAGAGAAGTTTTATGGACAGTCTAATGTCCCGTTCTGTGCTAATATCAGACTTGCTCTTAAATTTGTATCATGTAGCAAGTTTTCCAAGAAGAAAGTTAGTGTAGGAAGACATTTGTAAAAACATTCATTTTCCCTAGAATTTAGGACTATTGGGTTTGGGGTTTTTTTTTTCCCCACATGATTTCTGCTGCCTTTGGACAAATCAAAAAAATCCCTTATCCAAATGAAGATAACTTTACCACCTCAACACTACAGCAACAAATGAATTTATTTATTTATTTATTTAAGAAAAGCAAAACATACAAAACATTGTTTTGGGAGACAGAGGGAAGAGGTGAACCAATTATTTTGTTTTTAGTTTATAAATCCAGAAAGTTTGTGTGCAAGTGTTTGGTCTTCTCCTGTTCTAAATTTTATACTGATGTACACAAAGCCATACTATAAAAATCACTAAATCCAACTACAAATACAAGTAGGGAAATAAATTTACATGTAAGTATTTTCAAAGTCGCTAACTTTCTAAAAAAAATCAGACAGCATTAACTGCCAATTCTCTAAAATTAAACACACTTTATGATGTATTTAGCCTGAATGAAGACTTATTAAAACAGTTTAAACAAAAATGAATGTATTTTCTTCAAAAACAAAACAACAAAGAATACCACATTACAAGCTGTAAATAATTGGTGCTTCAGAATGAACTCTCAGTATCATCTCAAATTACTAGCATGCAAGAGAACATTCCTCTGCACTTTGCCAGCAGAGGAAGAAATACTTCAAAAACATTCTGGGGATACATACCATCAACTCTTAACAATATATTCACTTTGGCTACAGTCCAATTGGCTTTAGCTGAAACTGTCCTAACATAAATTATGATTCAGCAAGAAATGTTTGCTGGAAGGATAAATTTATTTTTTTCTGTCTCTCTTGCTCATTTTTTCTTCTTTTTTTAAAATTTTTTAATATATAAACTATTTTAAGTCCAAGTTACAATTGCTGGAGGGAGAGGGACACCTGATAGTTATAAGAATTTAACATCTCTCTATTTCCTCAAGCCTTCCATAGGTATCGAGACAAACCTAGATCTACATTTGCTTTTCTTAATGATACACCCAAATAGCACTGACATCTTCCTATGATTCTAACTTCTGGTATGCCTCGGTTAGAGGACTAGCATCTGCCTTTATCACCAGCTTTAGGGTATAATGCTATAATTTGTGGAGGGCTTGATTCTTGACCAATGTTTAAATTTCTTAGTCTTCAGTTATAGTAAAAAAACCCCAAAACAAACGAAAACCACACACACCACAAAAGATCCAAACAACAAACAAAACCCAAAAGACGACTAACACACCAGGCACCCTGACTTTATGTTACTGGAATGTTAGCTAGCTGATCCTTCAACATTAAAAAAATACAGCATTAAAATAGCCACAGCCAATGAATCACAAGCTCGAATTCCAGTCAGCTTAACTCACAATTGATTAAAATTGATCAGCAACATCATAAATGAGTGTCATAACACCAAACAATAAGAATACAAGTTACTTAAAGGTGTGTAATAAGATTCCATTTCCAATGTAGAAAAGGCACCTAAAGGCTGGCTTCATGCCTCAAATTACACAGGATGTTTTAAAAGCACACCTAATTTCGATGTTGCACAGAAATACTTCTGCAACTCAAAGTTCTTCTATCCTTTTATTATAATTTATTTACCAACGATCAATGGAAAAATTAGGACTTTACAATAAATCATTCCAATGCTTTCTACCAGACAGAGGTTTAAACAATACCCAGTGAGCTGGACAAGACCTTGCAGCCTACCCACTTCATTCCACAGCAAGAGAAAGCTGCAAAGGTGGAAGAGTTAACACAGCTCTCTGGCTCAAGGGTACTGAAATCAGAACAGGTTATTTAGACTAGGCCCATCACTTACACTGTGTATTTCTACTAATTAATTCATTAGGTACTTAGCTCATTGGTTTTTTAGGGAGTAGATATTCATAAAAAGAAAATTGAGTAGATGAAAGGGAATGTGATTTACTAAGGAGAAATCTTGCTTTTGTCCATTGAGTTAGGTTTTAAAAAGACAATGTTATTTTAGGATATTAGATACTATCAAAACCCTTTAGCTCAATAAGCAGGATGCATGAAGCTACAACAGGAACAGGAGGAAGGTGTTTCAGAAGAGACATCTCTCTCCAACATCATGACACAGCACATACTATAGCTGGCTAATGTTAATGGAGAGGCAAGCTCCTACACTTCGCCAATAAATCTGCTCCTGGATAAGTAACATGACTTCTGTTTTCATCTTCTGACCATAAGGTAAATAAAACATATTTACATCATTCAAGCATACAGTTATGTACGGCTTATTTTCATAAATTTTTAACCTATATATTTTTAGCCTTAGAAATCTGAATCGCTATTGCAGCATATCAAAATCATTAAAGTCTGTGAAAGATGCTGATCTGAACATTTAAAGGAGATTACCCTTTCAAAAACATTGCCAAATCGTCTGCTCATTTTCATTGTACATTCCCATAAACTTCCACTGTGAATTATTACGTGGGAATCTTACCCTTGAAGATTCATATGAAGGACTTGGCTGATCACTCGTTCCCCAGGATGTGGCACCTGTTCGCTCATCCATACCTAGGAATAAAAAGAAATATACAGACCGATAAGAAAAAATAGCAAAAGCATAACGTTCTCTGATGCAACCTGAAAGCAAACGCATCCGCTTCCATATACTTCAAGAAAATCCATCCATTCCATCTACTTAAAGCAGTATTTCTAAAAACAAAACTTAAGATGAACAGGTTCCTTGTTAATGAAGCTGGCTGCAAAGCAACCTACTCATTTAGACACCTGCAGCTGCTGAAAACAGGAGCATAAAAAGTCAAGAAGATTTGCCAATCTGCAGTGTCTACTCTACCCAATCTATAAGAAATTAGCATGAGTAACAAAACGAGCACAACAATGTTAGCCTGTTTTTTTGCATAGCCTGATTTATCCTGCATCTTAAGCACTGAATATTGCAACACATACTGTGAAACGTATGCTTGTTATCTCTACTCTTTGCTCTCATGTCTTGCTTAAGTATTGTAAAACGTGCAAAATTATTTCCCCTACTTGGTCTTTACATGACTAGCAAGATATTTCAGCATAAAGGGGGAAAAAGGCAAGACAGACTGGTTATGTTTCAAATGGCTTAAAAAAACCCCACAGAGACTCATGGTGTCTGCCTACTAAAACAGGAATCTTTTTGAACTCTGTAACGGTTCTTTTAGAATCGGTTCCCTTTATGCAAATCCAGGTTACAGCTCAAAAGAGAAAGGGGAAGGAAAAAATAGGGAGATCTTTAAACTCGGTATCAGTATATATATCCCATGTATTATCTAGCCAACAATTAGAAATATTGTTGCCACCACTTTCTGCAGTTACTTTCTATTCAAAGTTAATTGGTCAAACCCTCTTTAAATGACTTTCCAAAACACTAAATGCAGAAGTACCTGAATTCCTATAGCCAATTCATTCATATAGGATAAGGCTACTATTCTGTAATTAGGTTCCAGATTATTTGTATCACAAGATAATTTTTTTTTTTAATTTTTTTTAAACAGGTGGAACACTTCCATCCTAAATTGCAACTTCCATACACTTTGGCCTACAAAACACAACTCATTAGTTCACTGTCACCCAAACTTCTCTCAAAGAGTTTTGATATAGAGCATGAATTCTTTATGTGATATATAGTATAAACTACTTATGAAGTTTTATCACGTCATAATTTACAAATAAGAACTAAGTGCCACAATTCATAACAGCTGAGTGCAAGTTACTCCAGACAAGCATCCCTTAACCTTAACTTCATACTGCAATTATAGAATTTTCATGCATATATCTCTGACTGGCTGCACTACAAAATAAAATTCAAGGAAATACTGTAAATAACTACCTATGGAGTAATTGTATTCTAATCATTATTTCCTTAAGCATGTTTTGTGAAGCTACAAAATACTGTTTTGACCAAGACAAGCTGCAGAAGGCATGTTAAACTGAAAGTACAGTACAATCACAGAGAGAAAAGCTACAGACACCTTTTGTGTACTGCAGGAAAGATCCTCAAGGCTGGAGAACGCTCTTTGAAAATGCAAAACCACCGCCATATTGAGCCAGCAGTTTGTGGAAGTTTGCTGCATTTTGCAGCTGACAGCATTGTTGTTGTTTCATTGTAACTGGTCCAGGAGCTGAGTAAAAAGTCGTGGCTGGCACTGACCAAGGCAAAAGTAATCTTTTGGCACAACTGACTCTCTTCTGACAGAAACAACAGTGCTAGTAATCCAGTGATTATCATAACAAGTCTTCCATTGCTTTAGTTTCAAAAGAGACATATAGTAAGTGGGGGGGAGGTGGAAGAAAAGAAAAAATATCTTACTGCAAGACAAAGTCTTTGGGAAAGTCTAAGACACAGTACATTATATCAATCCATTTTGCAATTATTATAATAATATCAATTCATGCATGACCCCTAATCAGTAAAACATGTTACTCATTTAAAAAATTTGAGTCAGTCGGACATACGGACTTATGTTAAGGTTCTGCAAAATCAGCACATGTATAGCTAAAAATTCTCATATTCTAATCCTACAATTTGAATTATGCAAATAAATTGTTTAAAGAAACTGCTCTAAACCAAAATGTAACAGTTTAAAATGAGGAGGAAAACTAATTTCTAAATAGTTCCAGGAATTCTTTCTTCTAAAGAAGCCCAGTACAGTTAGCTAGAGCAGTCAGGAGTATCGACATGCTTCCTTTTTTCTGCCAGGTGTCTTTTTCCTCCTTTTCACGCAGCATTTTGTCTTCTCTTACAAGCCCAAGACAGGCTGGCATCTAAACCTACTCTTTAACCAGAATTCGCACATGAGGTACATGCATTCCTACATTAGAAGCTTCTTGAAGGCTATGCAGAAGAATGTCATACACTGCATACAGAACACCAACACTCTGACTTACTGCAGCTTGACATCTGGATTTGACTTGGCATACCCCTGCTGCCCTCGGCCCCCATCAGCAACAGCACACACCAATCCAGCGGAAAACTGGGTAGTCAGCAATGCTCAACTGGGAAATCAGATACATGTCCACAATGGTGCTCAAGGAATCTATTCTGGTTTGTACACTAATGTTTTTTCCACCGATGACAGATGAAAACCAACCAAATACTGCAAAAGACAAAGACTCAGACAAACTCTAGCAGGCTGGGCACAAACAAACAATGCATACTTTAATACAGCCAAAGGTAGCTCTGCATGAAAGAGCCAGGAGCATAAGATACACCTTCCAGATGGGAGGAGAACCTGAAGTGGGGACCACACAGTAAGAAAGGGCACAGGAGTCATCTACAGTAATAAATTCAATAAAGTCTCAAAGCAAAAGTGTCATCAAAAGGGTTCAAGCATTTACCTGGGAAATGCAAAACAGAATGGAGGAACTAGGGGGATCATCACCTTCATATAAGGCCTTCCACAAGGAAACACAGTGTGCAATTCCAGTATCTACTAATTCATCACGGATCTTAAAGGGCACAGGAAAGCTGCGACAGTTAGCAGAGCACTGAAAAATATGCTGCACAGGGAAAGGGTGCAGCATCTCAATCTGTTCAGGCAATGCAAAAAAAAGGGGAAATTCAACCACTCTTATAAAGGTCTAATAACACAGATACATGCAGTCAGGCAGACAGAAGCGTAATGAGGTTCTACCCCCACTTCCTTTTTTTAATAGACATTGAGGATGGAAAGTCATTGAAACGACTCATGAGTTGATTTCATAGTTCTCAGTCAAAATCAGCTACATCTATAGCAGACACGCCAGAGTTTAACTAGGGAGTAAGTCAGTAAGTTTGATCTTTGTTCGAGAGAATTCAGCTGGCAGCCTGTGACTGGTCTGGCTCACACAGCACCTCCACTGCACTCACTACCACTGTCCCAGGGAGGACTGGCCAGTGACCAGAGCACAGCCTGAATCTGGGACCCTGGCCAGCCTGTAGGAAAGGCTGAGTGTCCCTCACTCACCTCGGGAAGATCAGGCCAAGCAGTCACAAGGATGCTTTCTGGCTTTGTGCATTGAATTCTAAAAAGGCTTTGCTTAATGTTGCTTTTAAGATGGCGGCATGAGCATTTCAAGCTCTTCTGGAAGAAAAGCTGAAGAAACCTGTTGCCTCATTACTTCAACATATGTATTCATTCTGAAGAAACAGGTCCAAACATTCATCTAATAAAAAAATTGGATCTTACAATCAAACTGAAATGAAAGTTGTTTGTTCTTGCTGGTATAAGACAAAGAAGACCATATTTAAAACTTATTTCAAGAGACACAGGCTCTAATGTTCGTATAAACAAGATAATATACTTTATAGGGTTACCATCTGCTATGATGTTGATCAAATAAATGGTTTGACAAAAAAAAAAATCACATTGTAGATTGCTATACTAGGTACTCAAGGTATGAGTTTCTATCTTTTATAGCTTCTTTATCCAATTTTGTTTCAGAGTAATGATATTCCTTCAGATAAGATTCAACAACTGAAATCAATTGCAAAAAACCTAGAGCACAAACCATAACAGCCTGGATTGTATTTTGCATCTTAGACACCCAAACAAATCAATCTACCATTAGACCCTATATTGCAAAGGTCTATTGTGAAGTATGATACAAATTATTACCTAAAATTATATTTTATGTCTAGACTTGTAGTAAGGAGATGCAGAGAGAAATATTATTTGATGGAGAAATACTATCTCATTTAAAAATTTAAAATTTCTATAGGTTAAGACTAGCTCTCAGTCTCTTCTTGTTGATTCCAAATAGAAAATATTTCTCATTTTATAGTATGTTAATAACATAACAAAAGCATTTATATTTTAACAAAGTACCTAAAATTTGCAAATCAGATAAACAAGTAAAGACAAGATATACTCCCACACTTCCCAGGGGGGTGTGGCACCACTCAAAACCAAAAGCAGCATTGACAATATATGTCACATGGTGGGCTTAAAATATACAAAGCAAAGGGCATTAATCAAATTGAGAAGAGAAATGAAACCTAGGCAACCTATCAACAGCCTAACCACTTAAGCACCATTGAGATAAATTCAGGTGCAACATTATAATTAGGTAAAAGACAAACCACTTTCATTTCAAACTATATAAATAGAGGGCTTTCTCTCCACCCACCTCCCGCCCCCGAAAGGAAAAGCAAGGGGAAGTACTTCAAGCCCGGAGGGGAAAAGAAGAATCATGAGAAACTTCAAATCTCAAGCCATACTGTTTCTTGGAGAATGTACTGATTACCTTGCAGCATACAGATACAAAGGTCCCCCCCCATCCCTCTGGATCAAAAAGGAAAGCTCCTCCCCAGTAACAGAACTGCTTATTAGAGGCACCAGTGGGAGTAGCAGAGCAGTATCCCTTTTCGTACTTTTTGCTCCAGAGAAGATTAATGGAAGTGCTATGGGTATGCCACAGAAACACTGCCTTGAGTCAAAGTTGTACAGTATAAACTCTAGACTCCACAATTCCTTCAGGAAACTTCCCGAGATAATTTTATTAAATTGCATGATGCTGCTCACTCTCCTCCCTGTACTGAACCA